AACTCAGAAACAAATGAAGATAGCAAATTTCTGATTTGACAGTCGAGTTTGCCATGAAAATCGAGCTCGAGAACGTGGTGTCAGATTTATCATATCTTTAGTAGTTTCTGAGATACCCTGAAATCCCATCGAAAATGGACCAGCCTGTACACATTATCTTGCCACTTAACAATACTTAACAAAGTGCCAGTAGGCTCTGATTTTGTAAGTTCACTGTAATTTCAGTTTGATCTTTAAATCATTGTACCTGCCAATTCTGTTTTACTAGAAGCGGAATAATAAATATTCACAATGGACAAGATTGTGTATGCTCAAGAAAATCCACATGCTATCAAAGTGAAACATTATGAGCATGATTTTCGCATCAATGTTTGGTCTGGGATTATTGATAGCATTATTATTGGCTCTGTTATTCTACCCAGTAGACTGAATGGGAAAATTTATTTAGAATTTTTGCAAAACTCGAGTTATTGAAAGATGTGCCCTTATTACTCAGAGCTAACATGTAGTTTATGCATGATGTCGCTCCGCCACATTTCACTGTAAATGTCCGGCATTATCTGAACCAAAGATTCCCTTGTCGATGGATCGGTAGAGGAATAAATGTTTCTGTTAACTGGTCTGTACTCTGAAAACAACAGTGCATGTTTCCACATGTAACACTGAAGAAGAGTTGTGGAGAAAGAGGAAAAGTTATGAACGGTTATTATCACCATACATCAATTTTGTAGGAGTTGTGAGTTTTAAAAAACACTCTGTATAACACCTAAATTTGTAGATTGAAAGCAAAAGTCTACACCCTAAGAATAATCAAAATCTATTAATATATTTACATTCAGGACGTAAATGACTTTTATGTTCACCTACAAAAATCCATGAAATTGGGTGGTATAGATGACAGAATTAGATCACCAGTTTATTTTTTATTATTAACAAAATCATAAATTATAACAATCATTAATAAGAATCCATTTAATTATGAATCTATTTAACAGGAAATCAAAGAATATTTACTGCACATATTAAAATATGTGCAGTAAATTGTAGATGACATATATGCAGGTTGTCTGGAAAGGTCATGTCAAAAATGAAGAGATATACAGAGGAGGTCAAAATAGTTATAGTATTTCATAAAAAAATTTTCCTATAGTTCGATTCCTCTCTCACTTTGCCAAAAAAAAAAAGGTATACCGAATATCAGTCGATATACTGTACTGTTTTTGAGAAAATCGAATTTTATTTACAACATACATGTATTGTATCTTGCTTCAAAATTTATTTTTGTCATATTTTTCTTCCTATTTACTTATGTATCTTTTCAAGAGCTGATTTTAGGCGAAAATGGAAGAGGGAAACAATGTTTGTAATAAAATTTTTTACAAAATATGACTAGTTACAAATCGAATGAATCATGATTATTATTGTAAAAATCGAAAAAATCGCCAAAAATGGAGTTGATAAAACATTACTTTTTAGGGAATTTTTTTGGGGTCTTTAAATTGGGTATAGGACCTTCATACTAGGCTCAAGAAAACTTCATGTTATGTAAAATCATCACATCAAATTTCATCAAAATCGGTTTGATAGATTTTTTTTTGAAGTTAAAAAAAATTGATAAATGATTTTTTGTTTATATCTCCGAAATATTATTATATTAACCGATCTCAATTAAATTTGGTACAGATAATGTATGATCATAGGCCTTACATTCCCTAAAATATGAGCTTTAAAGGTTCAACTGGACAGAGATCATCTCCTTTTTTTACAAAAAACCTACGCCACTGCATTTTTTACAAGTCATTGTAACTGATTTTTATTCTAATGCACAAAATACGTAAAAAAGGCTACTTTAATTTTTTCCCTAAGATTCGCCATTCTCAAGTTATTCATACCAATAAAATCCCCTTGTGGCAGACACTTCTAACCATAGTATTACAAGAATATTTATGTTTATGCTTAAAATCAGTGCAATTTGTAAGCACATCAACAAAATTATTTACACTCCTTTTTACACCACCTGTGAGGTAGTGTTCCTGGCGTGTTTTAGTTTTCCCTGTAGGTCTAATATTCTTTACAAATAGGTAAGAACAATTTAAATCAAAATAATAATAAAAATATATTTACCAAGCAACAGTAATTAAACAAGAAACAAAATTGACGTTACGTATTTACAACAATAGTTAAAAATGCGAACCACTCACATCGATACATTTCTGACATCTTCTATTAATGGAATTAATTGAAACTATTATCATGTGGTGGTTTTCTTTTAATTCATTACAGCCGTCTTTTATTCGTTGCAGTAGTTGTGGTCTTGTATCTGTTGGAGTAAAATAAACTTTACTTTTCAAATAACTCCAAACATAGAAGTCTAAGACACTGGACCCTCTGCATCATTATGATTGGCATTGGTATTTGGTCTTCTACCTATCCATCGCCTCATATAATTTTCATTAAGCTATTCTTGTATTATTCTCACAGAATGCGCAGGAGCATCATTCATTGCATTCTCCTATTTTGTCGTATATTTAATGGAACATCCTCAAATAATTCAAATAGATGGTTTTCTAGAAAGTTTATAATTTATTGAGAATTTAGACGAGTGGTAAGAAGAAAGGTCCAAATATGCAGATTGTAAAAATTCACTAGCCCTCGCCTTTGGTAAATGTACATTTATTATTATTTTGATTTAAGTTGTTCTTATTTGTAAAGATAGTGAGTCAGGCTTCCAGGGGAAACTAAAACACGTAAGGAACTCACAGGTGGCGTAGAAACGAGTGTAAAGTATTTTGTTGATGTGCTTGCAAATTCCACTTACTTTTAAGCATAAACATAAATATTATTGTAATGTTATGGTTAGAAATGTCTGCGCAAGGAGATTATGTTGGTATGAATAACTTGAAAAAACTTGGGGAAAAAATTCAAATTAACTTTTTTACGTATTTTGTGCATTACAATATATAAATTCGTTACAATAACTTGTAAAAAATGCAGTTGCGTAGGTTTTTTTTTTAAAAAGGAGATGACCCCTGTCCAGTTGTACACCACTGGTTGTACCTACAAAGCCTACTATCATAGATTATTTGTACCAAATTTTATTGAGATCGATTAATGGATTTCTGAGATATAAACAAAAAATCAATTTGTTTTAACAACTTCAACACCCTTTATCCCTAAAACGGGGCTGTTCCAGACCAATGTTTATGAGACAACACATATTATTTTAAAAAGATCTATCTGCCCTCGAAGTTTCCTGCATAAAATTCGGACCACCCTGTATATTTAAATTGTGTAATTCTTATAAAACCTGACAGGCCAACTTTTTTATTTGATGTAATAGACTAGTACTTCCAAATGCAATGTTGTAGGAAATAACTTGACTAAGAAAAATTTACAAATAATGCTTTCTGGTGTTGCCAGATTTCTTTAGTAGCTACTAAAAATATTCTTTTAAATGGCAATACCTTATCTTTTAACATAATTTGACAAATCTTCAAATTCTGAATAAAAAATATTATGTAACATTTCTTTATTGGAGTAGCCATTTTAGAACAATCAATTATTATTCAACAGTAATACAGCTTTTTTTGCTAAAAGGAACTAAATAGTTTAAAATAACAGTAAAAAATAACTTTTATTAACTAATCAATAATAAAGTGTTCAAAGTCTCCTTGTAATTAATCTACAATAATGAACTCTTTTAACAATATTATGACTAACATTTTCAAACATATTGGGCGTAATGTTATTAATTTCCCGATTGTCTCAGTTCATCAACATAATTAGGAGCGGCTACGTATACTTCGGTTTTAACAAATCTCATAGGAAAAAGTCTAAAGGTGTGAGGTCAATCGGTCTAGCAGGCCACTCAACTGAATCCCGTCTTCCTATCTTTCTGGCAGCAGTTCATTAATATAATCCCGCACATTTAGCGTAAAATGAGGTGGTGTCCCATCCTATTTGGATTAAATAACTAATTCATTTTAGCAACTGAATTAAAATGTTATTTTTATGCACATTCAAATATAACACAATGGCAGCACAATAATGATGGATGCTGTACGAGCTCTATGACAAATGGTCGATGGGTTAATTTCAAAAAAATTTTTATAGGTTCGATTCGCTTTCGTTTAGAAGTTACAAGCATTTCGAATTATTCAAATTATTTGTGTTTAAAGTTTAAACATTAGTTAACCTTTATTAACCAAATTAACAAATCTTAAGACTATAAAAATTGTTCAAAATGTCCACCCTCGGCACGAATGTAATCTACTAAAGACGACGGCAGGCGACGGATGAGATTTGGATAATTTCTTATCTGGTTAGCTTCATCCTGAATTCTTTCAAGTAACTGCATGGTAGACAAGCTGCTTCATATGTCCCCATAAGTCAAAAGGATTTAGATCTGGGGAACGCGGTGGCCATGCTATTGAACCTTGTTGACTTATCCATTTATTTGGGAAATTATCATTTAACCCAAGCAGTTACTTGTCTCTCTCTCTATGCAGTGGTGCACCATCGTGCTGATACCACATATTCTGGGCAATATTAAACCCTATATATACAAAGAGAATATCTGCATATTCTTCAGTTGTAAATAAATGCATTTTATATTTAGCACTTTAACGCTAAATGTTAAATGAATAAACAAAATGACACACATAATAATTATTGTTATAGCAACCATCATTTTCTTTATCAGACCACTTTGATTGAAATACGAAATTATGTTTTTTTAAATGTTTGTAACTTCTAAACAGAAACGAATCGGACCTATGTTTCTTTAAAGAAAAAAATGATTTGAATTAATCCAGCTACCATCTGTTAAAGTTTGTCATAGAACTTGTAAAACACCCTGTATTATATAAAAAAAATATTCTATAAAAGAAACTTAATCGATCGTTTTCGTGTAAGAGTTGATTTACTAAGTTGTTTTTTAATTTTTTCATAGGTGGAAAAATATATCACAAATAAGTAATAATTTTTTCTTTTTTTTTCAGATTAGGAAATATGGTGACACAACCAAGACTAGAAACCTAGATTTCAATCAAAATCCTGCAAAATGAATTCCATAACAAAGACGTTACGTCCGTCAATTCTCTTTCTAACCACAATCTATATCTATTCTTCTTTTGGTTTGTCAGATAAAGTGAAGCAACAAGATTTGAACGACATCGGCGCGACATCGCGAGATACGATATTGCTCAGTAACAACTCGATAAAACCATCGCGGTCTAACTTGGAAGCATTTGACAACGAGCGAAATGTAATCAACGAAATAGGCATTTATTCGCAAAACATATCGTACCCGTTCAACGGTAGTTTCGAAGAAGACGACGAAGACCCTACGACCGAGGATTTCCTAGAATTTATTTACCCCAAGAGCTGGACGTGGGCTCTGATTTTTTTTCATTGCATTGTTTTCGTGGTCGGGTTGGTAGGTAACTGTCTGGTCTGCGTGGCGGTCTACCGCAACCATACCATGCGCACCGTGACGAACTATTTTATAGTGAATTTGGCAGTGGCGGACTTTCTGGTTATACTGTTTTGCTTGCCTCCCTCTGTGGTGTGGGACGTCACCAGCACCTGGTGGTTCGGGACTGCAATGTGCAAGATCGTCCTCTATCTTCAGGTAAGTCGTTTTGAATGTTTGATTTATACGGAGTGTTCAGAGTGTCAGACTGAGCTTTCGTTTGTTGACAGATATTGCTGTCCAAATGATATTAATGAAAAAACACATAAATGATATATTAAAATCGTCAAATAATGGATAGTGGAGTTGAGAAAAAGAAACAAAATATAACAAAAATTAAAATATTTAATGAAAAGTCCGTGAAATTTATTGTTAAATAAAGTTTAATAATGTACAAAAAAATTATTCGGACCGCAAATTATACAGTGCCTTCATAAATGCTCGAGTCCCACGTGACCAAGACTGTTAGGCAACCAAACTTACAAGGGAGTCAATCATTAACACAAAATTCCCTAAAGACAAATGATAGTCCAGTAGAGTATAAGTATATTACATTTCTTTACAAACTTTAATCTGCAAAATGTGTTTCTTTCTTCAATAGAAAAAAAAATCATGTTTTACATTTTTAGATATTTAGAATTTTTCCATTTTATATGGGAAAAGTATTTTTTTGTTGAAGAAGGTTAACCTTTAAAAAAATATAAGCCCTTTTGTAATCCACTTTCATTCAGAGGTAATGAAATAATGTTAATAAAATATAAAATGTTTCAGTGCTTTATTGAATTTTTAAAAACGAACGCCTCTGGATTGACATTTCACCAACGGTCCTAGTTGGTTTTTCCATGATAATTTCTGAAATACTTACCAACTTAAGAAAATCACATTTACTGAACGCCAAAACAAATCTGGTCATGTGAGACTCGGGTATTTATGAAGGCACTATAAATCATCCGACATGTATTTCGGATGTAGTACTACGTATTAGGAACAATATAGATAAGTAAGATAATGCTTATGTATAAACGCAAATTTATACATAATTAATTAGTACAAAAGTTCTTGTTAAACACGAAACAGATACTAGATTTTGGTTATAATTTTTATATGTACACATAACTACCAATAACTGCCTAATTATAAAATTAAAAATAAATGGTAATATATTTTATACAATTTATGGCCAGATTCTCAACCATTCCGACAATTCGATGTTTGTTAAAGTTTCTGAATAGATACAACTTTTAGTGTTCTGAAGTGAAAATATGGAACTAAAAGGTAAGTAAAAATTCTGATTTTATATACTTATCCAGAAACTATACAATTATGCCTCAATTTGGCCCCAACTGTATTTAGAAAATATTGAAAATTGTTTTTAAATTTTTATGAAACACACATGTTAAAATAATGATAAAAGAAATATTATGCCTTTATTCAAGTGTAATAAAAAAACATCTTTTTTTCCGATAAATTAAGTTGCCTTGTCAAGAGCACAAAAATACAGGGTGATTCACAACTTATCCAAAAAAGATGGGAATAGATGCAGCATGAAAAATGGAATCAATATCGTAAAAAAATTTTTTGTAAAATCCTTATAGTTTCCGAGAAAAAAATATTGAAGTTATAGTACATTCAACCACTACATAGCTAGACAACTGTAGTTTCTAGCGTCATTCGCCACGTGGCCTCAGCGACTCCGAATACAGAATTCGGATTTTGCAATCGTCGTTGAGATATTTACCTGTTATCTGTGGTGTTTAAAATAGGTTTTTAGTAGTCAGTGTCAAAAATGGGTAGTTAGTGTCAAAAATGGTTTGCGTGTACTCGGAGTTGATGGATATCGTTTTAATTTATGGTGAAGCATTTGTGTTATGGTGAAACAAGACAGCATTTGTGTTAGTTCGTAGAAACTGTAACAACGGACCCAAATGTGTTTACACATTGGTGGATAAAATTTTGAACAATTGTTGTAACATGATAATGATTTTATTATTTAAAAACACAAATTAATTTTATTAATTAATAAAGGCAAAAGCAGTTGAATATGCCGATATAAAATAGGTGCGATAAAATTCTATTTACATATTTCTTTCCTTGCGAAAGTTTTTGTCCGTTTTTATCAGACCGCCATGCCGGTCGCATTGTGCTAGGTCAGGTTTTATAGTGGACCAGTTTCCAGTGCCGTGCAGAAGTGTATTTTTAAATCATTTTCGAACTGCCCTTTTTGATTTCTTCTTTACAAAATTGTATTTGTAAGGGCCCCCTGTACATCCAGAATTTTTTTTTGGATAAGTTCTGAATCACCCTGTATTTTCTGCATAGGTAAAATCCCCCTTTTATGTAAGATATCAAATTATTTTATTCGCAATTAAAACTTATGTTCACATACTAAAATGGAAGATAATCAGCCTACTTTAATATTTGTGGATTTGATAAATCACGAAATATAAAACTGACTGCTTGCTACCAAATTTGGGACATTAATATAAATTTTAAATGTAAAGAACTAATAAAATGCTTCCTGACCTCTTATACAAAAAAGTTACTGTAGAGAAAAATTTTTTTTCCACTAACTTATTTTTTCTGAAATAAAAATATGTTACCTACAACAAAACAAACCATTCCCAAAAATTTCGAATTTCCATTAAATACTTTTTGCGATTCCTTCCAATAGCTAAGACGATCTGGGATCACCTAGTATATGTATATTAAATATAAAAAGAATTGGGTGTTCATGTATTCTTAATTGATACAGCTTATTATTGAGTTCTAAGGACTATGTACTATATTTATATTATTAATCATTTCTTAATAGGGAACATTCCGAATACTTTAGACCACTTAAAACTTCGTTCTTGTACATTTGAACAGAGGCTACATTTTTAATAAGATTGAGTTTTTTCAAAAAATGAAAAACATGTTCCTCTTTTCTACTCCATCGTGGGCACACTGTATTTAGTGATAACTCCTTACATCTCTAATGAACCACCGAAATGTTTCCATGTCTAATATGAAACTTGTATTGTGTATCATTATTCTTTAGAAGTACATATAAAAACTTTTACTATTGCAAAAATATTACTCTTACTTAAATATTTGAAGTTAGTATTTGAAAATATTCAGTGTACGAAGATAACAGAATTTTATTTTTTTAACTTTATTATTTTTCTGAAGGAGACAAGGACCAATAATGTAGAAAACATTATTGGTTCTTGTCTCCTTCAAAATACCACCCTCCCTCACTTACACTTCCAAGCGGTGTTGCCATTTCACGAAGTAGTTTTGGTTGACTTCATTTAAAATGGTTTTTAAAATCTGTGATGAATATTTGCTGTGCGATGTCATCAATAGTCTGAAAACGACGTCCTCTCAGTAGGTACTGATTTCAATTTCGGAAGCAGACAAGACAAAATCGCAAGGAGCCAGGTCCGGCGAGTAAGGGGTGTGAGGGAGGACAGTAATCTGATTTTTGGCACAAAATGGACGAATTGACAAAGCAGAGTGTGCAGGCGCATTGTTATGGTGCAAGAACTATGAGTTGTCTCGCCACAACTCTGTCTGTTTTTGCAGTTTTTTTCACGGAACCGTTGTAAAACGTCTTGATAGTACACACGCTTCATTGTTTCACCTTGAGACAAAAAACCAAAATGCACAATTCCGTTAAAGTGGAAAAAAAACAGTGAGCATGATTTTCGGTTGAACCTTTGTCCCAATGTCGTAGTCTTAAACGCAGCATTCGTTTCCCGTTATGATCCTTTGAATGAATGTTTCATCGTCATTAGATTGTTCGAGGAGTTGCAGACAGATTTTCTTTCGAGAATCAACTTCAGTTGACCGACGACCACTTTTAAATCGTGAAAATCATTCGTAAGATTGCGTGCGACTCAGAGTGGCATCTCCGTAAGTTTGTTTAAAAAATTAAAACGATTTCCTCAGTTTCACGGGAAATTTTACGTTGTATCGTTGTTCCAGAACATTGCACAAATCAAAAATCATCACTAACACTTAAACATGTTACACTCACATAATATCACGAAAATTAAATGAGGTACCAACAGTCCAAGAACATGTGGTTACAGATGAGATTATGCGCAACGCAATGCTGCCAACCGTATACCACTAAATATCTTCATTAGCACGTAATGCAATAATTTCGTTTATTTTCTAAACAGACTTCATAAATACGTACAACAACATGCAATAAGAAACATTTAATAACGTCATAGCTCCTACATCTGTACCTATATATAAAATCGTTATAAAAAACTTAAGATGAAAATCAACCTCTCCTTGAGTGTTTTCCAAGAAACTTACCTGATTCTTTAAGAAATTTGCGCGTTAAAATGGTATATTTTCAGAGTATCAGTGCAGAAGTAAACAGAGGGGAAAATCCTTTGCTGCCGCTTCGACTGAGTGCCGTTTAGAAAATATTCTTAACTTCCATTTCTTCTCAATTACACCCCGTTCTAAATCTTTTAGTACAATTGCTTGACAGATAAGTTGAAGGAGCGGGATAAAAAGCAGCATCATTCATTTAAAACTACTTGACCTGAATTTTCCAGCTCCCCCACATATTATTTTCTTCTACCTAATGCACATAACGTGTTTCAAAAGATGCCAAACACTTTAATAACACCACAGCGGTTAATTTCCATTCTCATCACTGCAATTCCCGAGCTAACATAGTTTGTTAAATGAGCGCGAAATTGTACGAGTATGACTTGTAAATTTTGCGTGTATAATTTCTTTTTTTATTTCAACAGGCATGTCTCTTGATCTCAAAAAATTTTTTATAGTATCAATTTAGGTTAATAAATTTTTAATATTGTAACAAACCGCGCAACATTAACAAAAGTAAGAAAATACAAGTGTCTTACGGTCCTTCGAAGTTTGAAAGCGAAAAATAGTGTTCTCAAGTACTCAGGAACCATAACTGATGATGGTTACGTGCAATTTCCTCACATAGATACAGCCACTTAGACTCGTATAAATAATTTGAACAAAAATTAACTAGTTGCTTTGAAATTAGGAATGTTCTAAGAGGTTTCAACATTTAAAAATAAATTATTTGACTTGGCACAATATGTTCTTTGCTATGTTTGGACAGATTGTTTTTATATATCTCTTGAGTATATGCAATACCGTACCATTGTCATCAACGGAACATAGCCGAAAATTTCTCTATAATTATCTAGTTGTTGAGACCGTCTATCTATTTGGAGTCGTGACCAGTGCATTCTACAAAAAAACT